CCTGAAATATTCAATGTTACGTAGCAATGTAACTTTTGCACCAAACTACAAACTTCTTTAATTTACATAGCAGTAGCAATTCAAGATATGAATTATTCTAAATAGACACCACATTGCTTTTTATGTGGAACATTTGTACAAAGTTTGGTGTGACATGCTATTTGGCAGAGTACTAACTTGAGTTCACAATTGTGTATTGCACCATCAGGAATTACATTGATTCAAAATTAAAGTCATTCAACCATCTAACTAATCGTTCCCTGAATGCATGTCAATCAGTCAGCCAAGAACAAATTTCCATAATCTCTGTCGATGTGCACAAATGTATCAATTTCTCCTTGGTATCAAGTCCAGTTCAAATAGCATAATGACTGAGTTTATGCTCCTAAAGTACAAGTTTAGCATATTCCTTTCACCGTGATATTAGCATGAGCAGGAGCTGCCAGCATGAACCAGAACTTGGCTGAAGGCTGAATAATGAGACAACAGTCACAACAACACAGGACAACAACATCCACACAGTGTATTCTGAAAAACAGAGAAATCACTGAGGTGAATAAGGCTCTCCCTGGCAATCACAAACAGACACCGGAAGTCCATACAAAACTATGCAATAACTTCTACCTTTGACTGCTCAAATCCTCTCATTTTATTCTGTATGAATGAGACAGTTTGAAAAGCTATTTTCCAAAACTTTGCTGAATGAATTTATAAATGTGCGGGAAACATTGTCACTGGTTTGACTTCAGGGAAAAGAGGAGATGGCTGCATCTTGAACTGTGGCACTTTTAAATAAATGGCCCTGAGATGTTGTAAAACCTGCCAGAAGGATCAATCAATATGACCACCCTGCCACAGGTGCTTGCAATGATAGGAACCCAGGTGTATTGGACCTCAGTGATTGCACCCCTCCCTACAAAACCCATATCCCCATTTGCTGACCAAAATACCTTCTAAACTGCTAATTAACCTTTCTAGCATGTTTTCAAAAACAATATTTCTTGCAAAGTTCAAAGACATCCAAGACTATCATAAAGTTGCTAGTGTAGGCCCATGGGCCTATCAGATGTGTCAAAGGTTTTGAATTTAGCTAATAAATGTGATTCATCCCTTTCAACTGATACAACTGTAAGAATTCAAAGAAATTTTTCCTTGTGCTTATGTTTAACTTCCAAATTAACAAACCTATTATGCAAATACATGAATTCTTATTATTGTTCTTATCATTACATTTAAGTACACATTTACAGTAGAGTGCATTGCAAAGAGAGGTTGGGTGATCCTGGCAAAGTCAGGCTTGTTAAGCTCATCGTCTTCGAACTCTGTGTCAGAGAATATATCACCATATCAGTCACCATGAACACCTATGAAAGTAAAAGTGTTAAGATGACATTTACCTCAAATACCATATCAGTGAGTAAATCTGTCATTTATCTCAGTTAACCATGTCAGTGAAAGAGTTAATCTTTCAGTTATCTCAGATAACCAGGTTGGGTGATCTTGGCAAAGTCAGGCTTGTTAAGCTCATCGTCTTCGGACTCTGTGTCAGAGAATATATCACCATATCAGTCACCATGAACACCTATGAAAGTAAAAGTGTTAAGATGACATTTACCTCAAATACCATATCAGTGAGTAAATCTGTCATTTATCTCAGTTAACCATGTCAGTGAAAGAGTTAATCTGTCAGTTATCTCAGATAACCATGTCACACTTAATAAATCACTCGACATCCTCCTGTATATCTGATCCTGGCAAGGCCATCACATACATATCGTAGGTGTAATGTACACAAACAAAATGAATGGTATGATTTATGAGGCTTGCCTCTAAATTCAAGATGATAACAATTCCAACTCCCCTTCCATATCATAAATGAAACCCAAAATGTTACTCCAAACCTATTATTATGCTCATACATTGAATTCTTCTTCTTATTATTCCTATTATCATATTTAAGTACACATTTACAGTAACATGCATCGCAGAGAGAGGTTGAGTGATCCTGGCAAGTCCAGCCTCAGCAGTTTGAAGGCTGTGTCATTAGTTATCCACATATATAAACAGTAGTTGTTCTTTAACTCCTTTTGAGTTGAATACATATTGACAATGGGGCCAGCATTTACATCATGTTTGTCTAATTGATTCTATAGCTATATTTTTCTTCAGACTCTGTGTCAGAGAATATATCACCATATCTCAGCTGAGTCACCATGAACACCTATGAAAGTAAAAGTGTTAAAATGACATTTACCTCAAATACCATATCAGTGAAAGAGTAAATCTGTCAGTTATCTCAGTTAACCATGTCAGTGAAAGAGTTAATCTGTCAGTTATCTCAGATAACCATGTCCGAGATAATCTCTTATTTATCTCAGTTATCCATGTCAGTGAAAAGGTTAATCTGCTAATTACCTTAGTTAACTATGTCAGTGGTTTTCTGTCAGTTATCTCAGTTAACCATGTCAGTGAAAGAGTTAACATGTTACCTACTTGCCTCAGCCGTTTTGTCTATGGAACAAGTCCTCAAACCAAAACATTTCATCAAACATAAGCAAGCATACACCTCAAATCCTCTTGGCAGTAAAAGAAACACTTTATGGAGAAAGTGTAATTCTAGATACAACATATGTTCATTTGACACATTTCACTGGATATTCACTCAGTTCAGACACCTCCTGGCACATAGTTATAGTCTGATCCCCAACACTTCTAGCACATGAAGAGTTAATGTTTCCCACTTGCCCTCCCCCCATGCAAGTTCTGTGCAGCAGTCAGTGTGCACCACCCTCCCCTACAGCTAATGAGTACAGTGCTCAGCTCAACAACACACCTTTGTTAAACAAACCACTTGTTACGCCAGTCAGCGGGACCTCGTCACACACCATGTTCCTGCAGATGGACTTCGCTATAAATACACCTCCACTTTCTCATTCCAAATATTGAAGTAACACCCACTCGAAACCCACACCTACTTTTTAAGGAGTTCCATCAAAGGGGAAATATCTAACATATATTTCTCACATTCTCAGACAAATCCATTTCTTAAACCCTCATTGAGCTGGCTATAGCTGGACGTACATTACCACTTTGTGTAATGTGTCCTGAAATACTCCATGTATTTAGATCTACATTCTAGTAAATCAATTCCAAGATATAGAAAATATTCACTTTCATAAATATTTCTACCTATGTGATTCTCAATACATGTATATTGAATATTCCTTCTTCAAAGCAAATTGGTGCTGTTGCTATCAGTATTGCTGGATGACATTTATGCAAACTTCCACATACCTTCACGCAAACTTGATAAAATGTCAGCTGAGTCTAAGCTGAAGCATCCAACATGTGCATTTCACACAGTTCAAGCGAGGAAGTTTTGATGTCTTCTCAGTGATCCCTCACATGTGAAATGTCTTGCATGAGATTGGCCCCTGCTCCTTGCCACTCAGTGCCTCAGTGACTTCACGGTTTAATGAAGCTATGATCACTCAACCATGACATTCACTGACAATAAAACTTCACTCCACCTGAACACTGTACAGAAGTCCATGTTTCCCTAAAACCGGTTCTACTGCACATTGAGTGGGGTACCTCTTCAAATCAAGCTGTGTGACGGCTCAAGGGATTTCAACATCAATTCCCAACATCCACTTTGTTATGTCACAAAGCTCATTGATCCAGCTGTTGATTAGGGTATTATGTCAACTGATGATCATGTAATCAGAACACTTGTAGAACCTAAAAACAGCATTCACTTATTAGACTGCCATAAATCACTCGACATCCTCCTGTATATCTGATCCTGGCAAGGCCATCACATACATAGGTGTAATGTACCGAAACAAAATGAATGAATGCGGATTTATGAGGCTTGCCTCTAAAGTCAAGATGGTAAAAATTCCAACTCCCCTTCCATATCATAAATGAAACCCAAAGTGTTACTCTAAATGCCACCTTAGCATATCTAGAACTTAACACATGAACACAGTTGAGGCAGTTTGTAATGCTGGTAGAAACATCTCTCTAACTCCAGCCTGCAGAACCCCATCACTAAAGGATTTGTAGGAACATGCTGGTCAATATACTAGTGCCAGAGTCCTCTCAAAGACACACCCCAGTCCCGCTGTGAGGCACCAGGGGCCCTTCATAAAGCCAGAAGGCACCATGCATGTAATGTCAGGTAATTAACAATCGCAAATAGCAACACCATGCCATAAAGTACATAGAAATGTCAACGCCATAAAGAGGAGAGTTTTAATACATACACTTTACTCATAATCTCCACAGCACAAACAATGCCTCTATTTCTAAAGGGCCCCCTGAACTGATGGCCATGAAAAGAAAGATCGACTGTGTTTTCTGGGAGAACTGATGCTGAGAAGTTATATAATATGCTGATGGAATATGTAATGTGATTGGTTGGAGGACCAAGTGCTAATGGACAGCTGGGTCAATACAGGAGTTATCAAACACCGGGCTCACCGATCACACATACTGAATCCAGGTATCACCCCTAATCTCTGTCCTAGGTAAATGTGTACACCATATCCTGATTATTACCAGAGACCATTTACAGATAACTAGTCTCTGTCATTACCTCTCTATAACACTCCTGTAATGAGTGAGATTGCACATACAATTTACTTTGTAAAGAAACTAATAACTTTATCCAATCAAACAGACTGCCTCCATCACCTGCTCCTACAACATTTACAGAATCCAACACAAACAGCATGTGCCGCAGACAGTTATCCTATTTAATGATTCAGTTAAATGTAAATAAGCTTCCAAGGAAATGCTAAGCTCCTCAGTACCGAGCAAACTTGGATACTGGACCTGTAATCTACAAGTTCAAACGACTGAATAACTGGCAGTTAGCCCCAGACATTACCTCCTCCATGAGTTAGCCAACCTGTGATATACATCTCGTATCACACAGCTGGAACCTGACATATAACACAGATGTAGTGACAAGTATGACATAACCACTAACTCACCAATTGGTGTTGCTGAGCGTCTCACCACATCCACCAGAGTATTAATCCGGGTGTCTTCCCTGGCTGGCTGTGTACGTATCCAAACCCACGTCAACAGAGTGTCAAAACATTAGGCAGAGGTGGAGGCAGTGTGCAGGTAGACAGCGCTCACCCTCCTCCACTGTCACTGAGCTCGCTCACAGCTATAACAAGGGACACGATGGATCGAGTGTGGAGGCAGGCAGGCCGGCCGGCTGCTTCAGTCAGTGCTGCTGGTTGGTAGCAGGGAGCGGGAGAGAGTACCTGAAACAGATCATGTTAACTTGTTATACTCCGATGAATGAATGTCACTGGTGATAATATACACACTGTCAGTGTGAGGACACAGTGATACTGTCAGGATTAAATGTTACTTTATGAACACATGTATTATTATTATTATTATTATTATTATTATTATTATTAAGGCTACTCTATAGGCACAATGCTCCGGTTAGGACACAATGCTCCGGTTAGGACACATTGTTACTGTTAGGACACATTGTTACTGTTAGGACACAATACTAATGTTTGGACACAATGCTAATGTTAGGACACAATGCTTTGGTCAGGACACAATGCTAATGTTAGGACACAATGCTCTGGTCAGGACACAATGCTAATGTTAGGACACAATGCTCTGGTCATGACACAATGCTACAGTTAGGACACAATGCTCTGGTCAGGACACAATGCTAATATTAGGACACAATGCTTTGGTCATGACACAATGCTACAGTTAGGACACAATGCTCTGGTCAGGACACAATGCTAATGTTAGGACACAATGCACAATGCTGGTCAAGACACAATGCTACAGTTAGGACACAATGCTCTGGTCAGGACACAATGCTCTGGTCAGGACACAATGCTCCGGTTAGGACACAATGCTCTGGTTAGGACACAATGCTAATGTTTGAACACAATGCTAATGTTAGGACACAATGCTCTGGTTAGGAGACAATGCTACAGTTAGGACACAATGCTCTGGTCAGGACACAATGCTAATGTTAGGACACAATGCTACTGTGAGAACTCAAGGACACAATATAATTGTAAGAAAACGGGAAAAAGTCATGATATTGTCACAACGACTAGGATGGATAAAACACTGACAAAAAGTCAGTATCTCTGGACAGGAGTATTTTGTGAATAAAAGAGAGAAACATTGATCTTTACTTTATCCCATCCTGGGAGTACACAGCCATGGCCTGTCTAATGGATACAAAGTTCAAGTGTATTTTACTTAAAGACATATGGAGACGTGCAGTGATGTCATGAGGTCTAATTACAATCACTGGCGACATACACAATCTTCCCTGTGCCTTTCTGTACACCTAATATAGTAACACTGACGTGTTTGTTTTGCCTTCACATTGTACTAAGCAATAAATGTTGGAAAATCGAATTAATTCCCGATTCAAGGGCATATTGGTCGTCCGTACAGATGGTTGTACATTCTGCCACTCAGACAATTAGTAATGAGCATTGATTGTACACAGGAGACATGTTATGTCCTGATATTATCTAAGCTTTGATGAATGGCAATGTAACAGACAACAACAGTCTACTGGGGCCACTACTGTTTCACGTGACAGGAGTACAACAGTCCACTGGGGCCCCACTGTCTCTGTAGACACGAGTACAACACTCTACTGGGGCCACCACTGTCTCAGCAGACAGAAGTACAACATTCTACTGGGGCCACCTCTGTCTCACTAGACAGAAGTACATCAGTCTACTGGGGCCACCACTGTCTCAGTAGACAGGAATACAACAGTCTACTAGGGCCACCAATGTCTCAGTAGATAAGAATACAACAGTCTACTGGGGCCACCACTGTCTCAGTAGACAGGAGTACAACAGTCTACTGGGGCTGCTACTGTCTCAGCAGACTGGAGTACAACAGTCTACTGGGGCCCCCACTGTCTCAGTAGACAGGAGTACAACAGTCTACCGGGGGCACCACTGTCTCAGCAGACAGGAGTACAACAGTCTACTGGGGCCACCATTGTCTCAGAAGAGGAATACAACAGTCTACTGGGGCCCCACTGTCTCAGCAGACAGGAGTACAACAGTCTACTGGGGCACCACTGTCTCAGCAGACAGGAGTACAACAGTCTACTGGGGCCACCACTGTCTCAGTAGACAGGAGTACAACAGTCTACTGGGGTCCCACTGTCTCAGTAGACAGGAGTATAACAGTCTACTGGGGCTGCCACTGTCTCACTAGACAGGAGTACAACAGTCTACTGGGGCCACCACTGTCTCACTAGACAGTAATACAACATTCTACTGGGGCCACCAATGTCTCACTAAACAGGAATACAACAGTCTACTGGGGTCCCACTGTCTCAGTAGACTGGAGTACAACAGTGTACTGTGGCCACCTTTGTCTCAGTAGACAGGAGTACAACAGTCCACTGGGGTCCCCACTGTCTCACTAAACAGGAATACAACAGTCTACTGGCGGCACCTCTTTCTCAGCAGACAAGAGTACAACATTCCACTGGGGCCCCACTGTCTCAGTAGACACGAGTACAACAGTCTACTGGGACCACCACTGTCTCAGTAGACAAACACAACAGTCTACTGGAGCTACCACTATCTCAGTAGACAGGGATACAACAGTTTACTGGGGCCACCATTGTCTCAGCAGACAGGAGTACAACAGTCTACTGGGGCCACCATTGTCTCAGCAGACTGGAGTACAACACTCTCCTGGGGCCACTGCCATCTCAGCAGACTGGAGTACATTGTGTATACAATCTACTGGGGCCACCACTGTCTCAGACTTTGAAGTGATAGACAGCACATTGTGTATACAATAATATCCTTTGAAGTGATATATATGGTGCATCAAACACAAGACTAATACACAGTAGTGTACATTTCTTATAGCTGAATCATATGTAAATTTTGACACAATGTGTATAACACTCATAAAACAGTCGACTGGGACCACCACTGTCTCAGTAGACAAAAACAACAGTCTACTGGAGCTACCACTATCTCAGTAGACAGGAGTACAACAGTCTACTGGGGCCACCACTGTCTCAGCAGACTGGAGTACAACACTCTGCTGGGGCCACCACTGTCCCAACAGACTGGAGTACAACAGTCTACTGGGGCCACCGCTGTCTCAGTAGACTGGAGTAAACAGTTTTGTAGACAGCACATTGTGTATACAATAATATCCTTTGAAGTGATATATATGGTGCATCAAACGCATGACTAATACACAGTATTGTACATTTCTTATAGCTGAATATGTAAGTTTTGACACAATGTGTATAACACTCATAAAACAGTCTCTATTTTTCACAGTCATCTGAATTTTAAGGATTTCCACTAAGTTATTGTTTGCAACCATCGTCATGATGACAAAGCATTTTCTTGTCAAGTGTAACCCCCTGAACATGAAGCAGTAATATTACAGTTAAAATACCAATGATCAGTGATCCCTGTTGAAATGCTAAACATGTTTCCAGAACCAAACAACTGAATCTCAATGTCAATAGTGACCATCCTCAGACAGACCCTCACTCCATGCATGACCTGACAGAACTGGTACTTAGTGACTTCCTGGTAGCATACATTGTCAGGAATGAGTTGTGTTTAATGTTCAAGAGTCTAAACTGTGTCGTAGAGTGTCAGTTTAATATCACTGTAAAGAATGTCAGTTGTATCATAGTATGTCAGTTAAAGCCGAGAGTGATGCAGGTTACAGACATATACCACTTTGTTGAAACTTGGAGTAACGAGCCTGGAACGGAGTTGAATGTTCTCACATGGACTACCTGGCTGAGCGAGGGATGCAGTAGACTCACACTTGGTCTCTGAACATATACAATTTTAATAAAAACAAATAATTTGTTTTAAATTGAAAACAAGCCCCAGTGATCTAACCTGAAGAAATGTAGACTTGCTTCATTTAGGGCTTAAGCATTACAGAACGGGCTTGGCAGAAGGGAAAATATTGTGGTTCAGGGACTGTGAGACAGTCTAGGGCTGCAGAATTATGGGATGACTGCATCACCCATCATGCATGGTCTGCAGCAGCTATTTGCGATACATGCACTGTGACGATATTTCTTTATGTGCTTCATAGAGCACTGTGGGTCCCACCATGTTACTGACACTGTATATCACACACCTTAAGTTGCCTATACCTGTACTCATCATCACAAGGGTCTGTTGTCAGCGACTTGTGGGAGGATAACCTGACGGATGCAGGTCTCACAACATCCACAACTCAGCAAAGTGAGGTGTGGTGCTAAGAGACTTAAATGGCACGTGTGCCCTCTGTTCTACCTGATCACACTTGTTTAGGGGCACATAACTTAAAATTCCTCTCATTGTATTTATTTAAAGATATATGGCTTACCACACCATGCTTACTTGGGATGAAAATAGACTCAATGACTTTTTAAAGATTTCATTTTATTTCAGGTGAATAGAGAGATCAGTGTAAATGGCTTGAAAGAGTACTCTTACACACAAAATACATTGCTGCCTGAAAGTTTATTACAGATACACAGCCCTATGAGGAAGGGCATGCAAAATTAGTATTTTGGCAGAATCAGCATAAGATTTTAAAACTCAGGGTAGGGTCTTCTGTACATTAGTTTAAAATACCTGGAATGCCAGGAATGAATTAATGACAGGTCCCTTAATCCATTGGACCACTTGTGACATCCACAATACATTGAAGTATTCTTAAAGGAAATAACTTGTACTTAAACTTTCTCCCTCACTACTACAAAATATCCTCATTACTGAGACATTAATATTTGATCCACCAGCCTCTGTGAAAGTAACTCAACTTAAGAAATCCCTGACAGATGGTAAGTGTATGGGTCTAGACCAGTAATAGGCAGATTAAGGAAATCCCATTATGAAATGGACATGTTAAGAAGCAATAGCAATCAAGGCCAGGGTTAGGTGTTGGCACAATCGGGGAATGTGAATCAGAAGACTCATCGACTCGAGCTGACGATTGATTGGCTGATAGTGTGGTTGACTGATGCCACTGGGCAGGTAAAACAATAGCACCACTGATCCGGCAGTAAGGTAGAGGTGGCTAACTTTCTCTGATGTGTCAGGCACCGGTATCAGACGGGGGTCTGTCTATCAATAATAATTACTCTGAATCAACACTGGGCCCCCTGTTTCTGCTGCTGCAATACAGGAAGTCCGGACTGGTCAGTAGTGGCATGCACAAAATCCCGTATTATTGAGTTGGGTGGCAGCAGACAATG